TGAGACTCTGTCTCAAAAAAAAAAAAAAAAAAAAATGTATATCAATATTGACATTCCTTTTGAAATAAGTTGCATGGAAGTTACTTTCAGCTAAGGATAAAATACATTTTTTCCCCTTGCTCTTACATTTAAAGATAATTTTCAAATAAAAGTTACCGGTTAATAAAATCTAGCTCAGGGATCTCTGCGCTCTCTCTTCTTTTCCCTCAGAAAGGAGGGAATCTCTGCAGTGTCCGCAGGGCCCCGGTGGGCAGGTTCAGCCGGCAGGTGTCTCCCGCCCGAGACCCTTGGTCAACACCCGCGCCCCCAGCCCCCGCGGGGCTCTGCGTCAGAGCCGGATCCGCCGCGACGGGGCGCGCGGGTGCAGCCCGGAGCCGACTGGATCCGCCGGGTCCTACAGCAAGACTCCCTGACCCGGGCGCATCCCGGCCCGCTGCGGTGTCTGGACCGGCAGCCAAGTGCAGTAAGCTTCGGCAGTGCTGGCGCACGTGTGGCGGCAGGGCCTGCCCCCTCTTCCCTCTGCAGCCTGCGGACTGGCGGGGGCAGTCCCTCCCAAGCCTTTTCCCTCCCTCGTACTTCTTTCTAATTTTAAACCATATCCAACACCCCTCCCTCCACCCACCCCTCTTGATCACCAGATACTGGAACCGGCTTCACACAAAAAACAGGCGGTGAGGATCTCTGCCACCAAGGCGGGAAAGCAGGGCTGAGGCCGGACCCAGCCCCCCTCACCTGCAGCTGCCTGACGCACCACCATGCTGCTACCCCCTTGCCAATAGCCCGTGTTTTTGTTTTGTTTTTGGTGATAAATATATATATACATATAAAACATAAGCTTAACCATTTAAAATGTACAATTCCCTGGCATTGGGTAATATATTCATAATGTTGTGTAACTATCACCGCTGTCTATCGCTAGAACTTTTTCGTCACCCCAAACTGAAACTCTGCAACCATTAAACAGAACCTCTCATTCTCCCTTCTCCCAGCTACAGATAACTTCTCCTGTATTATACTTTCTTTGCTTTTTGTTTTGTTTTGTTTTGATACAGGGTCTTGCTCTGTCACCTGGCTAGAGTGCAGAGGCATCATCATAGCTCACTGCAACCTCAAACTCCTGTGCTCAAGTAGGAAAGGAAATATTGGACACCTCTTTCATTTGCAGAGTAGTAAAATGAATGTGTCTGTTAGTCATCCTTTCAACAAGTAGTTATTGACTTGCTAATGGGTGAAGGGAAATATCCTACATGCCTTAGTCTGTGAGTATTTAATGAACCTCTCTCTCCTTGAGGTGAAGTAGACAGAGGTAGATGGACTTACTTACTCTTGATTACAACCCTGCAAATGCCTCAGTGCTTTGTTAAAGGTTCCCAGCGGCATGCACATGTTGAAGACATGTTTCACTCCTTGGGCAGGTTGATCTGATTAAATCCATGAAGCAACTGAAGACCAATCTGTTTGCAGAATTCTTGGTTTAAAACCAAAGCCACATTTCTTTGCATCTTTCTTGCCCTTCAAAATGTTCTAGGTCTTTTCACGAATAAGAAGGTATATATGTGCTTAGAATCTCTCATATATATATATATATCACAGGTAGGAACTATTACTCAATTTTATAAAACTGAAAACATGGAGAATAGAAAATGTAAATGTTTAGAATATAAATATATACTCTAACAAATATGAAGTTTAGTAACAGGAGGCCGAGATTCATGATTTAATGCTTTCTAGCCCTAATGACATCCTTTCAGAGAGTCAAGGGACCTTTGACTCAGACCAGCCTTGTGCACTTCCCGGCAAGGTGGACCTGCGAGTTTGGGGTTGAAGAAGCAGCCCATGAAGAAGGCATGATTCAAAGGCCTCCCAATATTCAAGTGGGTCCCCTGAGCTTCCTCCCTTGCCTCCAAGTCTTCATGTTTCCCCAGATCAGTGCCCCTGCTGATCCAAGGGCTGGGGGAGGGAAACGAGCGATCTCTCTCCAAGTGTTTCTGAGGGGGGATGGGGTATGTTGATCAAGAGCTTGGTGGGGCTGGATGCGTGGAAGCCAGTCAAGTGAGAGCCACCAAATGTTCTACTGTGGGCTTTTGGCATTAAAGCCTCTGGGATTTTCACTCAGAGCCCTGAGTTTTATCTCTCATTTGCTTTAGATTAGTGATTGCCAACCCTGACAAACGATAGAATCACCTGGGGAGATTTGAAGACATAGCAATGCCCAAGCTGGCTTTTCGCTGCCAGAGATTCCCATTTAACTGGCCTCTTCGGGTAAAAACTCCTCAGGTGATTCTTATATGTAGCCAGGGTTCAGAATCACTGCTTTTAAGGATTTCAAGGGCTGATTTAATCAATTCTCTTGTGGTTTTGAGCCCTATATGTTCTTATCTATAAAATTATGTCCTCTCTTCCATCTATTTAAAAAAGTATATACATAAGAAAACCAACCTCTTTGTGATCTTTCTGATCTCCTTTCTTTCTGGAAGCTAATTTATAGCTCTATTTTTTTCCCCTGCACCTTCTTCATTGTGGCTGAGTTGTAATATCTGTAGCTGGTGTTGCCCCTGAAGGCATAACAAATTATTTAGCGGTTTTCTGACTTTCTTTTCTGGTTTAGACTCCGAGATTGTTTGCTTGATTGTTTTCATAGAGGTAGTGACATCATTTGTTTTTATTTCTATTTTTGAAGGTGAAGGTATTTGCTCCTAATGCCAAGCAGATGCACATAGTTAATCACTTGAAAGGGAGCCCAACAGAACAGAAATGTGCCCGAGGAAAATGCCAGGAGAGCCTGGGGGGACATACGAGATTTGGCAGACATGAACTTCGGTAAGCTCGATGCTGTTATTATACCTGGTGAGTTCACTGAAAGCTGTGAGGCCAACTGTTCATTTTAATTAAGGCTCACTGACTTTAAAGCCTTCTTCCCCAAAGAGTGGCGCGGGCTCAGCTGCCATTTTGACCCTTCCATGCCAGGCTCCAGGTCTGTGGTTCTCCAACTGTGCCGCACATGAAAGTCACTTGGGGCACTTTTAGAAACTCCTGATGCCTGAGTGACACCCGAGACAGGTGAGATCAGACTCTCTGGGGGTGGAAACCAACATTAGTGTTTTTCGATGCTCCCCAAGTGATTCCCCAGTGCTCCATGTAGAGTAACCAAACTTGGCTACTCACTGATATCACCTGGTGGGCTTCAAAACCATCAGTGCCCAAGGCCTGTGTCCCACCTCCAGAAAGTGTGATTTCACTGGTCTGGAGTATATTGTGGAATTTTTTAAAAATCCCCAGAGGATATTTAAGTGCAGACAAGACTGGGAACTACTGCTCTATGCCAGTGCTGCTCCAACTTAAACAGAAGCATGACTCACCTGGAGATCTTGTTACAGTGCAGATTATGATTCAGCTCCCAGGTGACAGACAGGTGGTGTGTGGCATGCAGACCACACTTTGAGGCTTTGGAAATTACAGTGAAGGGTTTTCCTGTTTCTGGACCCTTTTCAGTGCAGGAATCACTTTTAGATTGGTGATGTCACCTTTTCAAATTGAAGATTGATTTACGAAT